ATATGAACTATAGAGACGAAATGAAAAGAAAATACCACGTAAACTGTTCTGAAGACAGTCAGTTCCCCTCAGAAACACATTCATATGAACCCCCAAATCAATATTTGAGGATTTTCTTCCAATAGTTCGTGCATCATGAACAGTGAGTGATCTGCCTGCTACAGTATTTTTCTCTTGTGTGTCCGTCTTCAACGTCTCTGGCCTGTGTTAACGGGCATTTACAGACTTCATATTTTCACATAAATGACATTTTGGAAAACGATTGCATTGCAACGCAGTTGTGCAAGTCCAGAACAGAGACGAGTTGCTTGCAATAAGACAAAAAAAGTCCGGTTGCCGATCGCGTAAGTTCCAGGGGAAGCCATCCTACACACACGTGACTGACTGCTCGCTCACACCAACAGGAGGAGGAGGGTCATGTTAAGGCTTGTTCACACTGGGACGAAAATCGATTTAATCGATTATTGCCGACGTTTAACGCCTCGTGACTAAACGAAGGGTGCCAAAACACGAGGCGTAAAAGCGTCATTTTTTAAAAAATGCCTCGGTCTCGTTTTTTTGGTTTGACGCATGCGTTAAAAACTGGCCGACCAATGAAATTGGCGCTTTTGTTCACGTGCCTGGAGCTGCTGAAGTTACAGTAAAACACGACTTGGTGGCACTCAAGCACAAAACGGTCTTGCCGAGCACACATTGATACCTAACGACAAAGAGGAAGTAAGTAAACCAAGAAGATGCATCAAGGCAAGATGAATGTAGAGCTGCTGGTCTCATTGGTGTCTGAACACAAAGGGCTTTATGACAAACGCGACAGCGACTACAAAAATCTTGATAAGAGGGAGTTGTTATGGAGAGGAATTGCAGATCAAATAGGATTCGATGTGTACCGGGGTATTTCTGTTTTTCATTAAGTGCCATCTAATGTCACGGAGTGAATTTGCACGTTCACTCGGCTCATCGCCTGCGAAAATCGCTTGGGTATGAACACAAAAGACTCGTCGAAAAACGTCGGCGATAAGCGCGCGCGATAATCGTCCCGGTGTATACGAGGCTTTACTCTCTACACTGCACTCAACCTGAGGGATTCCTACACTTTCAGTCTTTGAGGAGGACATGAAAAACAGCGCATACCGCAGGAACGGTATAACGTAAAATATTAGCGGTTTTGAAACAGTGACATTTTCAAATCGCGGTATACCTTGAAACCGGTAATCGGCCCATGCCTAAGCCAGACCCAAACCTGAGTCACCTGCATTAGCATTATCAATGTGCTAAACACTGATTACATTCTTCATATGTTCGTCTTTAGTGTTCCATGTTAGAAAGAAAGTCATACAGGTTTGGAACGACATGAGGGAGAGTACATTTTTGGGTGAACTATCCCTTTAATGCTATTTTAGTCTTTTTCTCTCAGCATTATACAACAGTTTTGAGTGTGTGTGATCTCTCAGCTCCTGAATCTTGATCAGTACTGAACCTGTGCACAGGGGTCCATGGGAATTCTGTGCTGAGAGCAGATAACAGCTGTGATGCCCGTCTCTTTCCTTTAATACTCACTAAAAAAGAGAAATGGATCAAGGAGAGAGTATAAAGAGACAGATCAATTTTTCATGAGAGCTGGGTTATGAGCTACCGCAAAATCTCTTCTGTGCTCAAAGTTTGCCATGCTGTAGCAGACAGACAGGACAGTTATTATAGAAATCCCAAAAGTATTTTGCTTGTCGCAGAGAGAGCTGGTAGTGATATCCCTGTTTCAGTGAATGTTGGTGACGTCAATGTCTGTGGGACCGAGCAGTCTAACCTGTCAAAACACATTTAAAAGGATAGTTTACCTGAAAACAGCAATTCTGTCATCATTTACTCACCTTTAGATTGTTTTAAGCCTGTATGACTTTTTTTGTCTTTGAAATTTCACCATTTTCTATGTGACATTTTAAACAACCTATGGGTTTTGCAACAACTTGCAACAACAAGAGTGAGTAATAATGGCAGAACATTAATATTTTCAATGAATTATTGCCTTAAAAGGTTCATTTAGTGTATTTTCATACACTACTGTTCAAAAGTTTCCTTCACTAGTAGGTTTTATTTATTTATTTTTTAAATACATTGATGCCTCTATTCAGCTGGGATGCATTAAATTGATCAAAAAGTACAGTAAGGACTTGCGATGTTACAAATGCAAAAGTTTCCTTCACTAGTAGGTTTTATTTATTTATTTTTTAAATACATTGATGCCTCTATTCAGCTGGGAATCTGGGATGCATTAAATTGATCAAAAAGTACAGTAAGGACTTGCGATGTTACAAATTATATCTTAATATGAATAATGTTCCTTTTAACTTTCAGTTTATCAGAGAATCCTAGGAAATGTGTGTCCCAGTTTACACTGTAGATATTAAGCAGCACAACTGTTTTCAACATGGATAATAATAATAAATGTTCCAAATCGCCATTAGAGTGATTTCTGATTTCTGAAAGTTCACGTGACACTAAAGTAGAGTAATGGCTGCTGAAAATTCAGTTTTGCTTCACAGGAATAAATAAAATTTTAAAATATATTAAAACAGAAAACAATTATTTTAAATTGCAATAATATTTCACAATATTTATTTTTACTGTATTTTTAATCAAATGAATGCAACCTTTTTGAGCATAAAATCTTTTCAAAAAAGAAAAAAAAACTTACAGACCCCAAACTTTTGAAAAGTGTATGTGCATCTTTTATATAATCTTATTTGTTTCTGAGTGTTTATTATTATATTTAGATAAAATCTTAGCTGCTTCAGAGAAACAGATATCTTGAGGAGACTCTAATGTTCCTTTTAAGAGTGTAAGTTTCCTCCATTAAAACTACAGCTGTGCTGTAATAGTGTTGCAATCACTGAAGTGCTGGAATGGAGGGAGGAGAGAGAGAGAGAGAGAGATGCGTGTACTGAGCGACCTACAGTGATGAGTCACATCCTGCAACTTTCTGCTCCTCTTCAGCTATCTGTCTGCTTTTCATTAGAGCTGCTCAATATCCACACCACCACAAAAGCCCATGGTCATTACCTTCATGACGGACTCAAACGGAGGTGGCAAACACTACAAACTTTCCCTCACGTCTCGCTTCATGATCACAAAACATCCCCTACTTAATGCACATTAGAGTTTTCATAAACACCTAATAAGGGTAAACTCAGCAACATACACCCAAATATGTCATATATTCTCTGTCTCTGGGATTTGCAGTTGACAGCATGTGGTTTGTTTAAACACTTGTGCAGAGAAGAAGATAGGATTGAGCTAATCCTGGAGATCCGCGAGGATTGCAGGTGTCTCTATCTGCTCTAAATCAGACACCTGGAATACAATCCCCTGGATTAGATTATTGTCCTATACTTCTCATATTTTCTTTACCTCAATATGTATTATTTTATTTCTTTGTGATTTAATCAAAGTCAACTTTATTGTCATTTTAAGCTCATCACATGACAATTGATAAAAAACAATTATGTGTGTATATGTGCACACGAAGACAGCATGCATTTAAATTTTTTTTTTTTAAATATTACAACATTAACCATTTGTTATATTGTTAAGAATAAATGCTATTTAATATATTAAAAAATTTAATTTTTTCCTGTGTTGGCAAAGCTCAGTTACTCCAGTCCGTTACTCCAGTATTCCGTGTCACATGATCCTTCAGAAATTATTCTAATGTTGATTTGATGGTTAAAAACATCAACGTTGTTATTATTATCAATGTTGAACAGTTGTGCTGCATAATATTCTTGTATATTATATGTGTAAGTATATATGTGTATATGAATGTATAATTGTATTAAAGTTTCCACAGCCACAAGATTAATAGACGTAGGTAGGTAGATGGATAGATAGATAGATTCTTCCATCAGTTGTCCATCCATTTTTATAATAATGTTAGATTTTACATTACTTTGTAATTCAAGTCAGTATGAAATTAAAATTGACTATTGTTGTGATTATTGTTTTTATTTTATTTTATGTAAAGCACTTTGAATTACCATTGTGTATGAAATGTGCTATACAAATAAACTTGCCTTGCCTTGCCTATACAGTAGATACAAAAATAATGATAATATATGTGTCCATTGTTCCAAAAAAAAAGTCTAATCAAAACTTGCTCCGGGGTCTGAAATTACTTTCCTTTTGGAACACCTACTTTTAATGATCTAATAATTTCATAATGAATAAAATTAGGTCCTGCCCTATTTTTTTCTAACTGAATATTAAGATTGAAACAGAAATATTTCACTCTACAGGAGTAAAATAAGATGCTGTACAAATGCTGTGTACAAGCTGGCAGTGTGTGCCTGTGTAAATATTACAGAAATCCAAAGTTCTGTCATGAAACTCTAGATGGTGCAGTCCGATCTAGACAGGTCTAACTCAATCTGGCATAATGACATTATTCACATGGCAAAGCTGATTGGTTCTTTTTGTATCAGCAGCCAATGAGCTTGCTGCTCAACATTCAAATACTTGGCTAGTGCTTGCTGTAGCAGTTGCAGCGCGCTTCAGAAACCCTCCACCTTCCCCAGCTCCACCTGTATAGATCTACTATGGGATGATCCATATATGCTACCTATGGGGGTTTTCATATATGTTATATGTGCTGCAGCAGTATTTCTTATATGCTCACAGCAGCATGTTGTGGATGTATTAGCAGTATCAAGTCTCTGTACCTGCTATGGCGCAGCAAATCTACTCTGCCAAGACCAAACACATTAACATTGTCATGTACATTACCATACCAAACCCTTCGAGGGTTGTCATCATAGAACTAATTTTGTACAGTTTTTAAGTGCATTCTAATCAAGGATTCATTTACTGGAGGGCTGTTCTGTGGATAATAGAAAGCCCAACTCAAGTAGCTCTAAATACAAATGTGTGCTGTTCAAATTGATTTAATTAAGATGTTTTAAAAGTCCAAATGGAATTGATGAGAAGACTTTCAGTTGATTTGTTTTTTTTAGGTCATGTCCCAGGCAGAAGGCCAACAGAAGAACCTGGTGAATTCCATCGAGTCGTTGCCGAGCCGCGGGCCGCTGTCCTCCCTGGACCAGGACCTGCTCCTGCTCAAAGCCACGTCTGCAGCCACACTCAGCTGTCTGGGAGAATGCCTGAGTATCCTTCAGCACAACGTGTGCCAGGCAGCCCAACACATCACCCACAGCCACATGCAGGGATCAAATACAGGCAAGAATATGGCACTGTCTGTCTCTTCTGAAATGTGTGATGTGTGTTAGTGCGGTGTTCCAAAATGTGTCCTCTTGTTACATCACATATAATATTATTGTTTGATTTATAGCAAACATAATTTGAAGCTCAATGTCCACAAATTTTCTTAATGGTGAATTTTTAAATAAATTTTAATTGCTGTGTATGATAACAGATATCATCCTGTGTGCAGATAACGTCTCTAATTGGTCAAGGCCCAAAACTGCCTCAGAAGGCCATGTGAAGATTGGAGAATTAACACGTAACAACACCTCAACTAGACATCAGCCCCACTCTCCACTTCACAGGAACAATGAACGGCTTAAAGACACAGAGGTACTCACAAACACACATATATTATGTTTTTCCTAACATCTTTTACGTTCTATATAGCAGTTGGCACGGGTGTTTTTTTTTTTTTTTTCCTTCATTTATTTTTAATAAAATTTTTCCATTCTATTCTATTCCTTGCCTGAAATTTGATCCATTGCTGTCACTGTTGGACAATGTTACTGCATAGTTTATTTGGTCTCGTATATGATTTTGTTTCATTCTATTTTGTCACAGAGGTACTCAGAAATACAGATATATTATGTTTTTTCATAACATTTAATTTAATTTTAATTTATTGTACTTTACATTTAATTTTATTATTTATTTATTTATTATTTATATATTTTAATGCTATTTTTAATTGAATTTAATTGAATTTTTTATTGAATTATTCTATTCTATTCTATTCCCTGCCTGAAATTTTATTCATTGCTGTCACTGTTGGACAATGTTACTACATAGTTTATATATAATTTTTCCTCGTATATGATATTGTATTTCATTTTATTAGGTCACTGAGGTACTCAGAAATGCAGATATATTATGTTTTATATCTATGACACTTTCTTAAAATGTATCTGTTGCTGTCACTGTTGGACAGCGTTACTTTAGAAAAATTAGTACTTTAGACCCTATGTGGTCTTGGATTTCATTTTACTTTGTTTTTGCAATAGACTTCTCATCCAAATTTCTGAGGCGGCACTTTCACCCTCGCCTCCTCAAAGAAACGCCCCTGCAATATAGTCATCATTACACCCATCGTTATCATTCTGAAACTGGCAGCTCTGTGACACGCTACTTATCACTTTAAAAGGGAGATGATCTTTCAGGGGTAAAATCTGTCACCGGGATCCGTTCAGCTTTTCTGATAATAGCCCAAAAAATCAGAATGGTCTCTGACTCATTTAAAGGCTCCCGTAGAGTAGACACGTCTTTGAAAAGTTTCAAATATGTGTCTGCGCTATTGTGCGTGCGCCTGCCAGGCTTCTACATTGAAGGAGTGGAAGAGGAGCACTAATTGGACGTGTTCTAGTTTTAGCGTCTGTGGTGGGTGACTGAGGATACCCACAATCCCACTGGAGCCCTGAATGAGTCAGTCGTCCCTCTTGGAAACCTTTTATCCGCCTGCGCTTCTCTGGGCTGCTGTTTCTTGGACGCAAGCGTGTGCAACTGTTTGTTTGCACGCACGCGGTGGCGTATGTATAAATACACGTAAATTTGTGTGTGCGCGTATGCCTGAAGGGAGCTAATTCATTTCGCGGTTGCTTTGTGTGTGCTTGTCATTAAATCGGCTCCCTGTGAGGACGAACATGCTCCCAGAATGCAGCAGACAGAATTTGTGCTACGTTTTTTCTCTGATATACTCACGATAATGTATCCAATTAATTTAACTTTGTGACATACCATTAAACCTTTAAATGACTCAGTTCGCACTGTTGAAAATTAAGAAGGTGATGATGGCATGATGCTGAAGTGTAAAGCAAATGCATGGCACATGTGTTCTTCAGTTATTTAAGGTGCTTCCAGCACCGAATGCAATTTTAACAGACGCAACATCAGCATCGACTGCATGGCTCATGGATTATCTGGGCATGAAACATGAAATATGCTGATGTATCTGAGGTCTGAAATGAGTTTGTATGAGCTCCATCAATCAATCCCATCATACTGCATTTGAGATCCGGCTGCAGGCGCCTCCTTTTTCGGGAGTGCAGTGTGTTGCTGTATGGATTCTGTGTGGCACAGTTGATTGTGGCCGCGTCACGCAGGAGTGCTCTGGTGATCTTTTATCACACTGTGTATTGTAGCCCTGGAGATACATAATTATCTGAAGCTTTCGCGCTGCGTAATGTTATTGCCAGCTGCAAAAAGCCACTTCAGCTGCTGTGGGAATTAAAGGAATAGTTCATCTACAAATGAAAAGCTGGTCATCATTTACTCACCCTTATTTCGTTCCAAACCTGTATGACTTTCTTATATCCATAGAGCGCAAAAGGCGACTTTTTGAAGAAAATCCTGGTTGCTGTTTTCAATATGTGAAAGAGCTTAAAAGACTTAAAGTAGCATTGAAGTAGTCTATATGAATTGTAAACAATATACAATAAATGAAAATTCAGTCATTAATTACTCACCCTCATGTCGTTCCAAACCCGTAAGACCTTCGTTCATCTTCGGAAACACAAATTAAGATATTTTTGATGAAATCCAAGAGCTTTCTGACCCTGCAGACAGCAATGCAACTACTATGTTCAAGGCCTAAAAAGGTAGTAAGGGCACCAATAAAATAGTCCACGTGACATCAGTGGTTCAACCGTATTATACACTAATATGCTATTTACATTAACTCCACCCACCAGCGTGTGCTTGGGCTAGACAAGACTATAAAAAAACACCTGGTAAACAGCAGCTGCAGTGGCATAGGTAGTAAAGTGCGTAGCAGTAACTTTTTGATGCGATGAACCCGAGTTTGAATCCGCCTTTTGCCAAACTTGTTCTTCTCCATTTCCTCATCACACATCACATCGGAAAGGTGTATATTTAAAAAAAAAAAAAAGTAAATAATCAAAAAGTCAAAAATAATGTTCAATAAGTCAAAGAATATTTATCAGGTAGGGGGTAGGGAGGGCTTATTGTCTCAAAAAGGCATCGATTTAATTTGAATAAAAATACACTCAATACGTTATTATTGCATACTGTTTTATAATGTGCTACAATACTGAGGTGCAAATATCTGCCACTTTACACAAAGAATTATAAATAGCATCTAACTACTATTTACACTTATTGCAAAGAAAATACTGCTATTTTTGCATAGTATTAATAGAATCTATCGCTATTTATATGTAGTGTAAAAAGTTTTATTTTTGGATGAACTGTCCCTTTAAGTCATTGTTCGCTGAAAAAAAAATGACATCCACCCTAGCTTTCAATTCTCACACGGTTTACAAATGAACCATTCATTTGAGTCTCTTTTGAGTGAATTGTTTGATATAGTTTACAAAACAGTTCTGAATGATTTGTTAACAATTCAGACTGATCCAATTCTTGGGCTCAACTCTCTGTATAATGGTTAACAACCCGTTGGAGGGGAAAGTTATCCATGAATAACAACTTAAATTTGAGTCTTTTCATGGCACACATTATAGCATGAACCTCTTATGGATCACTTGCAGTATATCAGGGTTTCCCAAGCTAGGGATTAAATAAATATATATATATATACAGTAAATAAACAATAAAAAAAGAAGATTAGGTTATTTGCATGTCGTGACCATTAACCAACATCAGAAAAAAATGAAAATTTGTCGTTATGGTTTGTTTCAAGCAAATATTTTAGGTCATCCCTGATTTATATGAAGCTTGCCCTTATATGAAATTTCCCCATTGTATTTGAAATGAGAGCAAATTATGACAGAATACTCATGGTCCGATATTTTATTTTGTATTTTATTTTTAATGAAAGCAATCCAGTTCTGTTATATGAGCAGTTGCCCGGAACTAACTGCTGTATAACATTTATAATACATTGACCTTGACCTAGCAAGTGGAATATTTATTTAAATTTATATTTTAGAATTCCAATCTTGTTATTAAAGCAGACTCATCAGAATGCATCATTACTTATTCTGCACAGGTTTGGGATATTGTAATTAATTTAGACAGACAGGGCCATGGGTCGATGGCGTAGCTACTCACCCGATGAGAAACGCCTGGCCGGTGGTTCAGCTGTAACAGTTTAAAATTCACGGGGATTGCTCAAGGATCGGGGGAACACAACAAATGATTAGCCAAGCGATTTATGCAGCAGCCGTCCCAGTGATTCTTCTTGTCTGAATGCAGAAACAGTGAGACATGCTGTAAAACAACAGTGCTGCTGGAGAGGTTATAAATCTTGGCTGCGCTGCGGACTGGAGCGAAAGGGCTTCTCTTTTATCACCGCTGGCCAAACGCCAAAGCATTTGTATGAATGTGATACTGAATCTTTTAATTGACAAACACGTACCTTTGCACCTGCAGATTGTGTTTGCTCTCATGTAAATGAAACCTAATAAGATCTCTTGTGGCAGATTGCCTATTGTTTTCATTATTAGAATGGTTGTACTTCATCGCAATCACCAGTAGAGGAAAGCAGAGAGCAGAAAGGATTGCAGTGATTGAAGATTACACGTGAACTGCAGAGAAAAGCAGTCACGACTAGCAGTCACGACTGTATAAAGCTGTCTGGGAAGGAGTTTGTGTAATGTACACAAAGCATTTAATGGTTCTTTTTTTAAGACAATGTTTTTATTGGATTCTTGGGCAACTGGGATTGAAATGAGGCTGTCAGCAGTCTCAAGGAGAGAGAGTTGTCTGTGGACCAGCGTGCCTTTCTGTACATGGTCTGACAGCTCGCTCTTCTGCGCTGTCAGAGGAAAATAACAGCAGCAAAACTGCAGGGAGCAGAAAAACAAACCTGAGCTATGAGACATGGCCCATCAAGCATACATATCCCAGATGTTTGACAGGAGAAGCAGCGGTGCAAATCCTTGTTGAGATTCAAATCGGTGTGTGAATGGGTGTTGGTGTGTGTGTGTGTGTGTGCTGTCAGCAGTCTCAAGGAGAGAGAGTTGTCTGTGGACCAGCGTGCCTTTCTGTACATGGTCTGACAGCTCGCTCTTCTGCGCTGTCAGAGGAAAATAACGGCAGCAAAACTGCAGGGAGCAGAAAAACAAACCTGAGCTATGAGACATGGCCCATCAAGCATACATATCCCAGATGTTTGACAGGAGAAGCAGCGGTGCAAATCCTTGTCGAGATTCAAATCGGTGTGTGAATGGGTGTTGGTGTGTGTGTGTGTGTGTGTGGCTAGAAGGCAATCATATGTCCTCGTCTCTGCTGGGGACGAAAGGTAACACTCTCAAGAGGCACAACACGGAGGGTTTGGATTTGTGTGCTTGGAAATGGAAAAGACTTTACAGCGGTCAGTTGACCAGTCATACTAGGCCATAGCTAAGGCAGGGGTT